TGGACCCACTAGTTGTTTTTAAAATGTGGCTGAGTCAACTGCATTTCCAAGGGCAAGTGTTTTAAACGTTCGTTTCTTTTGCCTACAAAACTAAATTATCCTAAAAAATTTTTCCAAGCCTTCTAAGGGTTTGGGATACATTCATAGGTGAATTGCTGGTTACAAATCAACAACCAGGAATCTTACTTAAAGAATATATGGATATAACCCTGAATTCATTAAACATTTACAAATCTAGACCGAGATGAAACTTCATCCAATGAATTACTGGGCCTGTTTCTTTACCCAAAACATAACAGTTCATCGAGACCTGAAGATGACATTACTTGGCTGAACACGTTAACTAAGTATTTTATTAGTTCAGCTTTTGCAAACAGCCAATGACCAAGGAGAATTCATGTCACCAAGAGAGAAAAAGCCACCATGCCCCTTCCTTTCTGGCTGCTTACCCTGGACAGAGGGGTGAGGGGTAAATTCACGGTGCTTCTTGGGAAGGTGGGATCTAGTGTCCCTGGCAGGTGAACCAGGCCTGGCCGTCTCGCCACAGATGAACCATTACGAACCCAACAGTTATGGAAATGGCTGGGCGTGGGACCCAACTAAGTTCTGGAAAACACTATCCAAATTAGGCATTTTTCTAGTGAGTCAAGTTCTCAGGAATAAATGCCTGGCTATTGGTCTTCTGGTACCAGTTCTAAAAACTTACATACTTATGCTTACTATGTTACTAAAAAACATCCAACCCTTGTATGACCAATAGGTGCGGGGATTTTACATGGTATTCTAAAAAGGACCAGAAATTCCATTTGCCAGAGGGCCAGCCAGCCCTCCTACCCTGGATGGGACAGCCACCTCCCTGCTCTCATGGCTCGGAGGGCTGGGGCCAGGCGACAGGCTTTCTGAGCGACACACAGCACAGGGTGGGCATTCAATACACAACTGGGCTTCCCACCGAGGAAACACCACCCACAGCCCAAGTACCCAGCGTGGAGTGGCAGGGTGGCAGGGAGCAAGAACACAGCCAACTGGAAAGAAAGGTGACAGAGCAGAACTGCAGGGTCACCTGCTTTGCTTTCTAAAGCAGACACGCCAAGAGGGTTGGCCTGGCCCCAGCGGCAATGTAAGAGCAATCTCGGGGGCCTGGTGATGAGAGACCCTTCCCTGGGCTGAGGCTATGTGAGTAGGCGCTCAGGCCTCCTGAAGATGCTCAAGCTGGACCAGGGCCTGGCTCTGCACCCATGCGCCAAGTCCGGACAGATGGATCCTGAGTCAGAAGCAGCTGGCACACATGGGGAAGCTGTCCCCGGGCAGGTGCCAATCCCTCTGGGCACCTACCAGGAGCCAACAGGGTAGCAAGGCCATACTGAACAACACAGGCTGATGATGCGCCCACTCTCCCTTCTAGCCAGCTTTCTCCTAAGAGTGGCTCACCTGCAGCCCCTGCCCTGAGTAACTTACTCGAAGGCGGCCTCCTGGTAGGGACCAATGGTCCCAGGAGAACCTGGCTCGTGCCGGCCCCAGGATGTCCAGTGACTGTGTTCATGGCCTTCCCTCCCCTCCTCCTCCATCATTAAGAGTCCTCCGCAGGACACTGTGACACAGTGGCCTTTGTCCCCACCTGCTTCTTCTTTCTCCTGCTCATTGCTGGACCTCTCTGGCTAGGGATGTCTTCCCACCGAGATCATAGGTGTTTCCAAACAGAACACACTCTTCCCCAAAGCCCACCCCACAGCCGGTGGCCTGCCTAGAGGGCAGGACGCTAGAAAGGGAGGAGCGAGGATCCTCGGCCACTTCTCCCCTGACTCGGCTGCCCTCCCGCTGCAGATGCGGCGGCCTCTCCCACGGGCAGGGAAGGCGATGCCAGCCTCCGTTCCCACGAGTCTTCCACAAAGCCTGGGGCGGGGGAGGCAGGGATCGTCGTTATCGGAACTCCCCGGAAGTGATGTCACGTGAAATCTTGGTGAAGAGCACAGGTAGAGCCCCATCCACACACACGAGGTCTCCAGATGGTTCACTCTCCAAAGAACTCAAGACAGCAAACAATCACACCCCTCATCTGAGGCAAAAGATCCACCTGGGCTCCTGGTGGCACACTCCGGGAAGACAGCACCTGCCTCCGTCCAGCCAGCGTGGCAGGTGCATGTCACACAGGAGGGGCAAAGGCAGCCTGACACCTGAAGGGCTGGCTGGACTCTCCCCTCTCCCTGGCCACACCGAACAGGACCACCTCCTGACACACCCTTCTGGCGCCCAGGGCACAATGAGATGCCACAGCAGCTGAGCTCGGGGTGAGCAAAGAGGGAGTCCTCCCACCCCTGCTGAAAGGCATGCAGACCGCTGGGAAGGCCTGCCCGTCTGTGCCGCGTCCCAGCCAGCAGGTCCTCACATCAGGGCCTCGGCTTGGCCCTCCACAGCCAGGCCCACGTGGGTCCTCACAAGAAGCCGGCCAGCACACAGAAGAAAACCACCCGGAAGGAACCTAAAACCACACGGAGAGGCCAGGGCCCAGGGCTCCTTGCTCGGCAGGACCAGTGACATAGTCATTCCTGTAGTAAGTCGGTTACATTGTCAGTGGTTCGTTTGTTTCTGAGGGGGAAGAGTAGAGACGCCCGGCACCGCCCGAGAAGAAAGCTAAAGAAATTAGATATGGCACTTCTCAATAAATATCTTAAAGCTTCTGAAAGAAAGAAGTGGAAAAGGAAAGCAACTGCTGTAAGGCCTGTTTTGCTGTTAAAAATTATTCCCAGGGAAGAAAATACCACAGCACAAGCATTTTTAAAAAAGTAAACAACATAGCTTACAAAAAAAAAAAAAAAAGTCCCTGTAACCACCTCGGCCAGCTCACATGTTGACCCATGAAGCAAAAGCTGAGCTCTGGGGCAGAGGAGCAAACACATCCTGTGCTCACACACAGACAAGGACACAGCTGCGTGGACGCCCCGCGGGGCAGCAGGCGGCCCTAGGGCGTGTGCGGTGCCCTCGGGCTGCGGACCCCTGGGCGACAGGTGAGAACGCTCCACCCCAGACACGCCTCTAGCACGGCCGGCCCGAGTCACAGTGCGCATTCCCAGAGACACTGTGGATCTCTCCCGCCGTCACTGCTGCTGAAGTCCTTAGGAAGCTAAATCTCAAGTAAAATGACCTCAGGCAGGTGTCTGAGGGCCACAGTTTTACCAAGTCACAGTGGGGCTCCCTGTCATTCTGCACATCAACCAATCAGAGGGAGGGAAACACCTGAACCTCCAAAGAACCCAAGGGGAGGTGCCTCCTTCTGTTCTCACCCAAGTCAACCTCTCCCCATCACCCACCCACTCCCCTCGGGATTGAGAGATCCAGTTTTAAAATAAAAATGGTCTAAAGAAACCAGAAGGAAAAGCCTTCACAAACAAGAGTGACAAATGCCCAGACTCGGCAGACAGCCAACCAACCTACAGGTGATGACAGTTATGTACAAGGGGCGTTACCAACAAAAATGGTAGCACTACCTAGAAGACGCAAACTTTTTTTTCCTCTATTTCTTTTAAACTTTGTCATAAAAGCCAACTTACATTAAAATATACTTATTACAAGACAACACAACTAATAAAATATATAATAAAACTTACACAAGTAGAAAATTCTGAGGTATTTCTGGTTTGAGGTGGTCTGTGGTCGTGAAGTTTTCATTCTTTTATTTTTCAAAATTTAAACCTTGGAAGCCACATAGCAAAGCGTGTGTGTATATGTGGATGTGTGTGTTCTGTTTTTTAAATTTTGCATGTTTCATAAATTAAAAAAAAAGTCAAATGTTGAAACAGCAGCATTAGGAACATTCACTGACTAGAGCAAGGTTATGGCATAATAGAGAAAGGGTTTTTAGAATATGCACCACTTTAGGGGTCTGGAGAAAGCCATATCCACCAGCCACATAACGGGGACAGTAACGTCACCACACCAGGCAGAGCCAGCACTGCAGGACTCACAGGGTCTCCAGAGAGGCAGGCCTCAGCGGGCCCCACCCAGGAAATCCTCTTGCCCTGGCTGTGCAGGGCGCCCCCTGTGGGCATTTCCCTGAACTGCTCCAGGAGGAAGCAATGCATTCCAATGTTTCCTCCTGTAAAGGTATTTTTACAGCATCATGTCTTATGAAGAATGTACCACTAAACCGTGATTTCTACCCTTCCCTAACCTTAAAATAGGGCAGAAAAAAATGTTCTGTCCTATGTCCAAGCCCAAGGCAGTGGAAAAAACTGGTCAGGGCCAGCAGATGGGTCAGAGCCATACCTATTTTAGACTTTCTCCAAACCCCGCTCTTGCCGTTCATGCTCGGCTTCTATGCGGTCCTTCCCCTCCATTCCTGGTTTCCTGAGAAGTAGCCTCACAGCAAAGGATGTTGCTCCGAATGTGCCCGAGTCCAGTGTAGCTCCGATCCAGACCCTGCCTACCCCCGCCCCCCACCCTGCTCCGTCCTCCCCTTTCAACTCCAGTCTAAACCATCCTCATCCTCACCCCAGTTTTTCCTCGGTCAGGACAACACCCGTTAATCCGCGAAAGACACATCTGCTGTTTCTTACACTCACTGTCTAAAAAAGGGAGAAAAACACAATCAAAGGGAGGGAGGGAGGAAGGAGGACGAGGACAGAAGGAAACTCCTCTGGAGGAAGGTGTGTTCGTATGTAACAGTCTTCAAAGGTTCCTCTAGGAAGAGTTTGCAGCATTAAGTTTCCTAAGACAGGAGATGGGGTTCTTGGTGTCACAGATTCTGAGACAACACACGAAGAGAAAGTGGGGGACGTGAGCCCCGAAGGACAGGAGGTGGCTGCGGCTCTCCGGCACGACGCTGGTTCGGCACTCGCAGCTCAGCACCTCAACGCCTGCCGACGCGTCCGCCGTCCGCGGTACAGTAGAGCGATGTGCTGGTAAAACTGATCCAATCCGAAAAATAATATTAATAATAATTATAATAATTATAATAATAATAAAAAGTCAAGGTAAAATAGCAGCTGCATTTTATGTGTTTGTTGGTGTTATGAGATTTCCAAAACAAAACACAACTTCTGTCTTTTTTTCTTCCTTTCCTCTTCAGATCCACTGAGTCTGGAGATCCACACATGTCCTGGGCTTAGATGCTCGACTCTTTAGGGGGCAGGTCCACGTTGGTGACGGAGGTCACCAGGGAGACAAGACAGTCCGAGGCAGTGCCGCTGACTGACCTCCGGATCAGGGACACCCGCTCCTCCACGCAGCCCGCGGACAGGCGCGCCTCCGCGTCGTGGTCCCAGCACTCCTCGACGGTCACGCAGAGCTGCGCCAGGCCCTGTGCGGCAAGGGGGCGGAAACACAGCCTTGTTGGTGCCCTCAGGGAGGACCGGCCTGGGGACAGCAGGCTCAACAATGTTCCCGAGGATCGAGCAGAGCCCACAGGTGCGTCCCAACCCCTGCAGCCGTGAGCAGGGGCCTGGGGGTCACGGCGTGAATCCGGGTGCCACCCCTCCAGGCGGTTACCACCCTGAGCCCACTGGCCCACAGACCTCATGGGAGGTCCACTGACTCTCAACATAGGAAGGGGGGAAGCCAGGCCTCTCCTGGGGCAAATTCAGTGATATTCAAACAAAATTTTACATGAAGCCCAAGTCATGTGAGAGTCCAAAAAGCAGTGATCACGGTGGGGACCAGAGGAGGGCACTGTCCCACCCTATTCCTCATAGCACCCGGGAGCGGTGGGGGGGGACCCTCCCTAGAGCTCAGGGAATGTGGTGTATGACACGCTGCACTGGAACCAGCTGTGTGGCACTGGGGGAGGCGGAGGACGGACAGGAAGCCCATGTCCAGGAGCTCTCTGGCCTGCTCCGCCCCTGAGGCCACCCCCTCAAGGTCCCTCTGGACGCTGGGCTCCTCAACTGGGACTGGACCAGCTGCCCTAGGACCTCTGCCTGGGGAGATTGGAAAAGTCTGAAGCGGAAGGTAGATTCAGGCCCAGCCTCCACCTTCTCCATGCGCAGCCCTGGGTTCCAGGGAGCAGCGTGGCAGCTGAACTTGGCCTCAACGGCTTGACCCCTGATGGTACGTATGGCGGAGGGCTACTCCCAGTGGTCCCAACACTGTCCTTTTTCTGAATTAACCCCGGGATGGGCGGGGGATGTGGAACAATGGAGCTGAAGGCAAATATCCCTCCAAGATAGGAAGCGGTTTACACTGCTGGGGTCTTTGGTAAAACATCCCTGGAGCAGAGGAGCCCAGATGTCACAGGGCTCGGCCCATACCCAGAAAAGGACGAAGGCAGAGAACAGAGAACATTTACCAGAGCCAATCCATACTAATTATTTATATGATCGGTATCCTGCCAAGTGATTTATAATGATAACTCATTAAATCTATTACTACCCTGAGGAGACAGAGGCTCAGAGAAATAAAGCAATTTGCCTGAAGTTACCCAGCTATGGATTGGCAGATTCAGGATTCAAATCCAGAAGGGCCAGGCTCAGGGCCAGCAGGCTCCTCGGGACTGGTGACAACCTGGGACCTGACCAAGCAAACCCAGAGCCACCTCCCTACAGGGCACCGAACCTCCCTAAGGCCTCCCTGGTGGAAGGGAGAAAGCGCACTAAGTGTCCTCTGGCCTGGCAGAGGAGGGGGCTGGGGGCTTGTCTTGCTGCCTGAGGCACCCTCTCTCTCTGTACTATACCCCCTTGACCTTAGGCTCTCGCCACAGGTGAGAACCCCATTCCCTGCTCCTCGGCAGCCACCTGCCACCCAGGCCCCTCACCGGGTGCTTCAGCCAGTGATCCTTAATGGCGGGCCGCATCTTCTTGTGCACAACCACCTCCTGCAGCTCCTCCAGCGAGGGGTGCTGGCCGATCTCTTCTTCAAAGGGCAGCATGTACTCGTCCACGGGGCCTGGGGGTGAGAAGGAGCCTGGCGGGTCACCGCCAGGTCCCGCTGCTCCCCACCCGCCCATAGGACGCCTGCAGCGCGGCGCACTCACCATCGGCAGCCTTGCAGCGGGAGACGAGCTCCCACAGCACCAGCCCCATGGCATACATGTCGATGCGCAGGAAGGCGTCTCTCTGGAAGTTAATAGCCCCCTCGAGCACCTCCGGGGCCATGTACCGCCGTGTGCCCACCTGCACAAGGGTAGAGAGGGTCTACAGTCACCATCCACGCAGATGCTCTCACAGCTGGACAGGGAGATGCATCCTTCCTGCACCACATGGGGCCAGGACGGCAGAATTCAGAGGAGGACACTGACAATGATGGCAAGGCTCGGAGCGCCACGTTCACAGGAGCGTCACGAGAGGCCACGGGATACACTGCACCTTAACGACCGTTGAAAATCTCACGCCCTCGAGACGGCAGTAAGCTAACCTGGTGCTGCCTCTACCCCATCAACACCATACAGGCCACACAGACCTGTGTTTTACTGAGATTAACACCAAAAACAAAAGGCAGGGGACAATACTGAAAAATATCAGCACGGATTGTTCTAGGATGATTTGTTCAGGCTTAATTTTTAGTTACTTTTTCTAGACTTTTGGGTTTGGATTCTTCGTAGAGCTTCTATTTTACCTTGTTTAATATGCATAGCTGAAAAGAGAAAGACGGAGGCAACATGGACGAGCAGACAAAAATCCCCACCGGGCATCCGTGTTGCTCAGCGGACCGGCCGCTCGCGCCACCGCACTCCAGTTCGCCTTCCCCGCCGTGAACGAGGGCACCGCATTTGGTGTTCTCCGGCAGCTCTGAGCCCACAGCAACCACTGCCCGTGCACCTTGCCCGCCGCTGAGCATCAAAGGGCAGCGCCACCCTGTGCCAGCCCCGCTCTTGCAGCCTGAGTCGCGTTACCTGCCCGTGGGTGTCCCCCGGAGGCTTCCCTGGCTCAAACCGAACAGCCAGGCCAAAATCGGCCAGCACGGCCGTGAGGTCGCTCTTCAGCAGCACATTCTTGCTTTTAAAGTCCCTGTGGAGACAAGTGGACTGAAATGAAGATGAACATCATGGTCCAACCTACCTGCTCCTGGCTTCCCGACTCGGCTCTCAAGATGTGGGAGCCTGTGCCCTACAGCCACCAGAGACCCCAGGGCAGGCCATCCCGCCAACCTGGGGAGCAGGGTCTGCCCCAGGCGGAGTTCCATGAAGCCGCAGGCGGGCAGTTTTAGGACGTCCCCCTCCAACACTGCTGGGAGAATCCCTAATTAACTGCGCTTCCCCAGAGGTGTTAGCACGGCACCTACCCCCACTGGCCGGCAAACTCCATCCCAGTCCCCACGGTACCAAAGGCCAGACCCACGTTCACAGAGGGGTTGAGGGCAGGCATACTGACGGGGATTCGGGCTTTCTGAGGATTTATGCACATGGGACATGAGAGAGCACGGCAGCTGAGCCCGCCCGGATTTCTGGGCAGGCGCGGGGGCTTGAGCCCAGCACGAGGCAGGCACAGGGCCGGGCGCTGTGCGCGCGGTCGGCCTGCCTCTTCCCAGCAGTGACTTCTGGTCCTCAGCCTCCCCAGTGCCTGTCTCGGCTTTGTTGTGAGGATGAAACTGAGGAGGTACTGAGTATACATGCTCGGGGCCGCCCCTGGCACACTTACTATGCACTACTGTTAGGCTGAACCATATGGAAGAGTCGACATTCAACTGTTTTTGACCTACAAAAATGGCAATTTCATACAATCAACCTTTTATGACATTACTCTTAGTACCATTAGGGGCCCTACAGCTTTGAATCCTGGAATCCGAAGCTCCTTCCCCTCCCTCACACAGAACCACACTAAACTAGGTATGGTGAGGTTACTATATTTTGCTGTGTATAATGCACACTCTTGTGCCCCAAAGTTTTGAGGAAAAAATAAGGATGCACAGTATACATGTGTAGTACTAATTCCATATCTACATAAATGATTTTAATTCTTTTATATACGCTTATGTGTTTAAAGTGTAACTCTAGAAAGCAGTAACGATGCTCAGACGCAAAATAATACCCTGAAATACAATAATCTGTTTTGTTTCTAAATAGAAATAAATAAATAAGTAAATAATTGAATTAAAAGATTAAAACGAAAGATTTTCTTCCTGAAAGTATGGGCTGAAAACGTGGGTGCGCGTTATACGCAGCAAAATACGATCCTCACCACCTCTGCACTCCCGTCCCTTCCTCCATGAGATGGGGCTGAGAAACACGGCATCACAGGGCGGCTCTGAGGGTGAAATGAGCTGGTACTTCTACGTGTTCAGAGCACCACCTGCCATGGAGGAGCGCAACGATGAGGCGTTAACACAGTGGCTCTCAAAGTACAGCCCACGGATCCCAGACGATCCCTGAGACTGTTTCAGAGGACCTGCCAGGTCAAAATTACATTCATAACAATCTATTATTTGCCTGGTGTTTACACTCCTTTTCTCAAGAGTATAGAGTTTTCCAAAGGCTACGCATATGTGATGTCAGCACTGTGACAGTTAATGGGATGTGTGTGCTTCAGTACAGCAGATGGAAATAGACGTAAGTCACGTACACAAAGTTCTCTTGGCGAGTGGAAAGGGATTTGGAACAAAAAGTTTGGGAACTGCTGAGCCAACTCTCTGGTAATGGAGTCAGCATTTCCTCCTGCAGCCACTAGAGGACACCAGAAAACCGGCCTGCGAGGCCAGGCCAGGCCCAGACAGGGGTGGAAGGCACACCGGGGGGCAGGTGGGCCCAGGTGTTTGTACACAGTTGCTTCTGACACACCACAGAGTGGCCAGGCCTGTTTATAAAACTGAGACCCACCAGGCCCTGTGCTCGCCTTCCAATCTTCTCTGCAGCTCCAGGCCAAGCACAGAGAGGTCACCAGCAAACCCAGGTACCTGTGGGCAATAGACGGCTTGTGGCCCTCGCCGCGGCACCAGGGCACGTCCTCATGCAGGTACGAGAGACCTCTCGACATGGTCTCTGCCACGTGACACAGTTCGTTCCACGTGATGATGTTCCCCTTGAGGTAATCCGTGAGGGAGCCCTAGAGGAGAAGGCACAGAACTTGGGCACCGGTTCTGGGCACAGGTAGGACCAGCCCAGCGCTGGAAGGCTGTCTCCGTGGACTGGCAGCTGGACTCCTCTCCTGGCAGGCTGGGACTGACACAGAAGACACGAGCCACAAGGGGCTGCAGGGGGGTGGGGGCTGGTGGAGTGTTCAGACGTGTTAATTATGAAGTCACTACTTTTAGTCATAAAAAACTTATCCCAGAGGTAGGGGTTCTTACTGTAGACACTCACGTCCACACCTGTGGCAGGAACCTGACTGCGGAAGGCCACCACGGGGCCCGGGGCCGTGGTCAGCTCACCTGCACGCCTGCCTCCAGGGGGTGTGGCTCACCTTGTCGTGGAAGGCGGTGATGAGCCACAGTTCCACCTCAAGGTTGGAGCCTCGCTTCTCCGCCGCGATGAACTGCAGCAGGTTCTCGTGCTTCATGCCGGGCGTGCTGAAGATCTCCCGCTCGCTCTGCCATGACTGCTTGTCCTGAGGCAGGGAGGCGGCTCAGCCCTGCTACAGCCGCACCACCTGCACAGTCTGATGCAGAACCGCACCCCCACCCCCGTCCCCCACAACCCCAGCCTCAGCACGGATAAGGGGGCTAGGACGAGCTGGACCGAGCCGTGCCCCGGAGCGTAAGCCAATAGTGATCCCTGAGATCACGCAAGGCCAACCCCTGCTTTATAAATGGGCACACGGAGGTGCAGAGAGGGCAGCGCGTGGCCCAGGATCACCCAACAAATGAGAGGCACAGCTGGGCCTGCCTTCGCTAAGGGTCTCGGGCAAGGACCTGGGGTAGCCTGGTGTCCACCATCTCTAAGCAGAACATGAGGTCAAAAACAAACCCCGAAACCCAGAGTGGATCACAGTTTTGCAAATCAGGGATTTGCAAAGCTCTACCTAGCTGCGCAGTACATGCCACTGCCCCCAAGGGGACCCACTTCTCTCTCATTCCACCTATACGGGGCCTGGACTGCCCAGGGGCATGAGCGCTCGGGCCACAGCGCCGGCCTGCAGCCCCACACTCACTCACCTGGAGTGGGAAGATCTTGACAGCCACAAAGTCGTTCATGAGCTGGGCCTTCCAGACGCAGCCGAAGCGCCCCCGCGCCTTGATCTCCAGCAGCTGCAGTGGCTTCAGGCCCACCAGAGGGGACGGGGGTGGGGGTCCCGGGTCCTGGGGGAGACCAGCCTTAAAGAACCTGTCCTGGCCTCGCCACCCGTGCCCTGCCCTGCCCTGAGCCAGCCGTCTCACCTCGTGGATGTCCACGTGGCCGTAGGGGGCTTTCCGGTGCCGGTACATCCAGAAGGCCAGCAGGACGATGAGGGAGAGGCCCCCGATGGGCAGCAGCGAGTAGGCCAGCACCGTGAGCAGAGTGGGGGCTGTCGGGGGTGGCTCGTACGTGACTGGGGGACACACGGAGCCCTGTGTCACACAGCCCGCCCACCCCTGCACCTCCAGGGCCAGAGAGCCCGGCAGCCACTCCCCACCCAGCTCCAGAGCTGAGCGCTCCTCACGGGCCAAGGGAAGGCCCCAGCCTGCCTCTCCCACGGCCCTCACCTTCCGGGCCCCCGGCCTCCGGCAGGTGGGTGAAGCGCTCGTTGCAGAAGTTGCCTTCACAGCAGCAGAAGTACACCTGGGGGTTCTCCTCGGTGGCCACACACTCCTGCCTGGAGGCACATTTTCCCACACCCCTTCTCAGCCGAGGGACCCCAGACCGACCAGGGCCCACCCCCGCTAAACCCTCCCCACCGACAGACGGCCTTGTCAGTAAGCACCAGGGGGACAGCACAAACCCACTTCCTGGGAAGCAGGACCAAAGTTGGGGAGAGGCAGCCAGGGCAGACACTCACAGAGAGCTTTCTGGGGACTAGACCTGGTGAATGCAGTTCCAGACAAGCTGGGAACCCGCTGCTCCCCTCCTTGTCCAAGCTCCCGCGAGAGCCCCTCTTTCCCCACCCGCCCTGAATGCCAGGCCTGGCTGCCCAGACACCCTGCGACCCCCGTGGTCGGCGGGGGACAGGGGGGCTGCGGTGAACTGAAAGGTGGGCTCGGGGTACCTGTCGTAGCAGTTGAAATCGTCCAGCCAGCAGCCCTTCTTGACGAGCTCGATGGTGCCGGAGCTGTTGCGCCAGGACGCGTAGCAGTGCAGCCGCTTGTCCTGCTCGCCCTCGCAGCGCTCCAGGCCGCTCTGGTTGGTGCGCTCCAGCTCCCAGTTGGCGTTGTAGTAGATGCACTCCCGTGTCTCAGCCTCCCCACGCCCGGAACCTGCGTCCCAGCCCAGACGTCAGAGGCCTGCATGGCACTCCACCGGCCCCTGCTCCCTGTCTTGGACCCAGGCCACCCACCTGTCCTCAGTGCGCCAGCCAGCACGGCCCCCATCTCATTCCTCTCCCTGCCACCGCCCTCAGGCCCAATCAACAGAGAGGGGGCCACACACCTCAGGACACAGGATGGAGAAAACAGCCAGCCAGACTGACAGCCAGATACCAAAAAAAAGTGTGTGGGGGGGGGCGGGGTGCTCTACCAACACCTGAGGCTCCTGCATGGAGGCTGCTTCCCTGCATCAATCAACAGAGGGATCCCCAAAACCCCAGTGCATATCAGAGGCACTGTATGGGGTGGGGGGCGGGGAAGTGTCCAGTCCACACCCATCCAATTGCAATGGGGGCAGAATCTACCGGGTTGATCGCCCCCATCTGCCTCAGGCAATACGGATACAGACCTCAGGGGCCCCAGCAGCTGTGGTCTTTGCCTCGACCCTCGCTCATCGCGGCCCCCCAGGGGGACACTGCTGGTGCACCCCCCACAACCCCTGGCCAGACTGGACAGGGCACAAGGACCCTCCTGTGTCTTCTCTGCACCGGCGACCACTCCTGCTGCTCAGTAGGGCTGGAGAAGGTCATGAACTATCGGGCCCTCGTGTTCAGGGTGACGCTCTGGAGGGACCACGGGAATACGTGCCCCAAGCACAAGGAGGAATGGCTGGTGGCTGAGCCGTGGTAACAGATGATCCCCCCCGCCAGCCAAGCTTGGCCCCTGAAGACACCCACGGGCGCTCCCCACCCTCTCCTGCGCCCTCTTCCACCCCCTGCACCAGAGCCACCAGGTGGCCAAGGCTTTGATCCTCAAACGTGGCTTCAAACATTCACCAAATCCATCTTTCTCACCCAACCTCTCCAAAACAACCCCCAGCTCAGCCCAGCCCTCGGATCTGCGCTTTGCCCCCTCCTTTCTTCTCGCTGCGACAGAAAAGGAGGAAGAGAAGCCAAGGGAGACCCCCAGGAAACCGGCTCTGATCCTGACCTGCCGCCGAGTCGGTCAAGCTCCCAGGTCTCCCTTCAGGAGTGCCCTGCCGTCGTCCCTGTAGGGGGTGCCCCCGATCAAGGGCGGCGGCGGCATTTACAGCCTCAATGCCAAAACCCCACGTACACACTCAAGAGGAAAGCGGCACCAAGCCCACTCCTATCCTCCCAACACTTCTTAGGGTAACTGCGAGCTGGTGACCCGACACCGCCCTGGCTTCACTCCCCTACAACTATTCCCACCCCAGGGAGGAGGGAGGAGAAGGGAGGAAGGAGGGGTCAGAGCACCCCCACGGAAGGACAGCCAGCCCACCAGCAGCCAGGAGTCCTGCTTCACCATCCATCGGCCTGAAAGGCTGGCTGGAGCAGCACGGAGAGAAAGACCTCCCACCCCAAGCCAGGGGAGCCCCCCTCCCATGCCCCAAATCCTCAAACAGCCCAAGGTTCCCCTCTCCCGGCACTCCACCCTCATCTGAGGCCATCCTGAACAAAGAGCTGGCTATCCCCTTACACCCGGGGGCAGGACGATGTCGTGAGGTGGGCGGGCCCCACAGCAGGAGTGGCCATTCTCCGGTCAGACCCACCCCTTCTCTGTCTCTGCAGTGATGGGAGGCTCCTTCCAGAAGGGCTCGACCAGAGGTGAGCCTCGCATCTCAAAGCTCCCGGTAGGACTTTAAAGATTCACAATGTCACCTAAGCAGAAGGCCAGGGTCCAGCTATGGCTCTAGCCAGCCAATGCCATGGGGACTGAGCTCAGACACGGGTAAGAAGAAAGAGCGGGTTCTCCACCACCCAGGCAGCTGGGACCCAGCCTGGTCTGCAGGCAGGGCCTCAGGGTCCACAGAGAGGCTCCTGCAGCGGGGCACACTCACTCCCCGCCCCTTCCCCGCCAGGCCCTGCACTCAGCTGAAGGCTTAAAGTTTGAGGGGAGAATTGAGGGGATGGGTGGGCGTAGGAGACCACAGGCCGAGCGAGCACACCAAGGCCGGGAGCCAGGAGCTCCCGCAAGGCACCCAGGCCCCTGACCCCCTGCAGCAGCATCTGGGGGCTGGGCCAGGGGACGCGCCCAGTGCAGATGGCACAGGGCCCCATGTCCCGGCCGGGGACCCGCTGCTTTCACAGCAGCAGTTCCATGGGGGTCCCCAGAGAGCGAGACTCGCGGGGCAGACAGGAGCGCGGGCACTGCCCACCTGCCTCCCGCGCCGCAGTCACACGGCACTGCCAGGCCCCTGAACGTGCCAGGCTCTGGGCTCACTTAGCACAAGCGATACCTCTGGCTGCAAGAGGCTGCCCGCTTCCTCCTTGAACGTTCAGCTCCTCCCTCTCCCTGGATCAACTCTACTTGTGCTTCCTCCGAAATCTAGTTTATCGCCCGTGATGAATTAATTGTCTGTTTAAAGAATATTGCAGACACTCAAAAAGTGTGGAAATGATGTAACCCAAGACAATCCCCAAGAGAAAATTACATAATGCGCGCTCATCTGAGAAATAACAGAGTAGGAACGTGCTTGCCAACAGCTTTTTAAGTGTCACGCTTCCCCCACGAGACTGCAAAGCTGATGATGGCAGAAGCCTTGACCGTGCATAGAGCACCAGGACCAGCTCCGGACACACGACAGACGGGTGGATAGAAGGTCCAAGGAGCGGACAGAAGGACACAGTTATTTCCTGGCTGGGGCAGGATTTCAAAGGGCGGGACAACAGGAGCGGTGGCCCCACCCTGCTGCCCAAGCCCCCAGGTCCTCCGGGCAGTGTCCGTCCCCATTCAGACAGGCCGCGCGCCCCCCACCCCCAGGCTGGGAGCCAGAGCAAGGGAGGCCGGCAGATGTGGAGAGCGGCCCCGCTCCCCTCTCCGGGCCACTGGTCAGGCAGGGACCCCTCTGGCCACCGCCGTGGCCATGACCCACGTGCACAGGGAGGGGCACTCCGAATCTCAGGGCTCCAGGGGTAGGACGCAAGGGTTTGGGATGTCACTGGCCCTCCGCCTGACTAGATCCTCGTACAGGTGACTGAGACACAGTCAAATGGTGGCTGTCGCTTCCTAGCTGTGTGACCCTGGGCAAGTTATCAACCTCCCCGCCCCGTGCCTCTGTCCCCCCGACTTATGACAAGGGGATAATTACAGCACATGCTCTCAGGGCTGTTGCAAGAGGGAAATGAATTAATGCATTTTAGGAGTAGGTAGAACAACGCCTGGGGCTGGCATGTTACCTGTTACATTAGAGTCATGTGCCTCCCCTTCTGTCCAGGACTAGCCTTCACAGCACAAGCCCCGCCGCGAAGCCCCCGCCCCACTGAGAGCACAGTGTGCGCACCCACGCACGCGGCAGCTTGGCGTTCAGAGCCTCAGGGGGACCTGAGGAGAGAGCAGACTCCACGCCCCGCCCACACCACACCCAGGCCCTGCTGCCAGCTGGAGACCCAGGGGCCTCCCCCCTCCTCCCTGCTCACTGGCAAGCTCTGCTTCTGCACACACTCAGCTATTTATAGCCCCTGGCAGCGCTCCAACCACCAGGCCGCCTCTGCCTTTTAATAGACATGGGGCTCCTGCCCACACTCCCGGAGCCAGGGCACCCATGCACCGGAGGCTGCCTCTGACCTCCGGCTCACCCCCGATCCTGCAGGGGAGGAGGCTGCGCTTCCACGATGGGGTGGTCTGTGGCACCCCCTCACACTGGCGGCCTCAGAGCTCCAACAGATGGGAGCTTGCTCCCCAACACCTGGGCAAGGGGCTTGCTGCATTCCTGAGCTAGAGCCAGCCCACTCGCTGGCCTCCGAAGGAGCCCGGGATCCAAGTGACAGTGTCCCCAGCAGGCAGTCCCTGTGTTGCAGGGGCCTACACCTCGGTGCAAAGAAGCCCCCACCCTCTCCAAGCCCTTGGTCTGGCAGTGCAGAGAAACCCCACCCCAAACAACACCACCACCTCATAACAACAGCAGCAGCAGCAGCAACAGCAACAACAAAAACCCGGAGTACCTGCAGATTCCACTCTGAACAGACCTCCGGGGGAGCGGGACCTCAATGGGCACATGAGGAAAAGCGCTCGAAGGTCTGCTTCCCCAGTCCAGTTGGCCTCCGACGCGCCCCTCTGTGCGTGGGGGAGGAACAGAAGAAACCCTACCAGGGTCCTGCCTGTGACGGCCTCAAAGCGCAATGGGGACAGGGAAGAGTGACAAACAGGTGGAAAAGTGAGGGGTGATCAAGCCACAGCCCTCAGGTAGTTGCTGAAGCTGGAGTGGCCACGTGTCCCTGGGGTTTCCCCGAGCTCCGGGCTTGGGGCATGTCCCACCCAGCCAACGCCTCCCAGAGGACCCCTGCAGCCCGAGGGCCACTGTATGCGACCTTGGCTTCCGGAGACCCCCCGGGAGCAGGTGCCTGGCTCTCCCCACGCAGGCACGCGAGGCGCACCCTCCCAGAAGCCTCCATGCCTGAGAGGTGGCCAAGCAAGGACGATTCAGGCAGCCCTGTGTTCTCCACTGTCCAGTTCCAGGTCTGCTCAGAGAGGAGAGGCAGCCGTGCACACCACCCCACTCCTGCCCGTGGCCAGGCTGCCTTCCTGGGAGGCTCCTGCCTTAGCCTCTCCTGTCCTGCCCCGTCAGGAGGCAGCCCTGCAGGCGGCTGAGCACCTGCCACCCCTGCAGGTTCCGCGGAGGAGCCACCGGGTGTCCGTGTTCATGACTCCACCCCCCCAATCTACACAGCGGTATCTTCACCATCTTGCCCACAACCAGAGCAAGGGTGGCCGGGGTGATAAGGGAACCTGCATGGGGGTGGGGAGGTGGCAAGAGGAAGGTTGAAATGTGAGACAGACAGACACGATACACAAGCGCGCGTGCACTGTGGAACGGCATATTTGTACAAAGGGGCACAAAAGAATCCACAACATACCTACACCTTTCAATTTCTTTACATAAGATAGTAACTCTTGGGTATCTGCTTCTGGCAGCCAAACACAATCTCTGA